TGGTAGTAACACAAATCCATTGTCTGCAATGGATGGGGGATATATTTTTTGCCAGAAACCAGAAGTAGACACCAAGTTTTCAGCAAAATACATTGTATATCACAGTCACATGATCGCAGGACACTGCAAACAGCCATAAAATTGGGCCAATTACTGAACGCCAAAAATGTAGTCACATGACCACAGCAGGAAGGGGTGGGACATGACTGTCAGCATTGCGAATCTTGGTTGTAAGTGCATGTAGTCCTCTTACTTACGACAACCGAGCTCAACATTTTGATTGCTAAGCAAAATGGTTGCGCCTTTTGCCCCATTTTATGGCCTTTCCTGCCACAGTGAAGTGATTCACTGCAGTTTTTGATAACATGATTGCTAAGTGAATCTGGCTTCCCTGTTAACATTGCCTGTAAGGTCACAAAAGGGGATCACATGACCTCATGACATCACAATCGTCATAAATATGACCCAGTTGCTAAGTGTCCAAATTATTTTTTTAATAAAGTTTTATTTGGGTTTTCACACATACCAAATACAAGTAAAACATCTTTTTTGAAAATAGCATGGTCCCGGGTTGAACTTCTTTATACAGACACAAAACTCAATTTCATGCTCCTTTTTGTATTTTATTCCATATCTTATACTATTTTACATTTTCTATATAGTTTTTCCTCCTTTTTAATTTTCTCAATTTTATTTTGATTATTTCATCTCAATTCAAATCATTATATTTATACTTTTGTCTGTTCTGTTTCAATTTCATATTATCTTTTCTCATTAAACAAATTTTCTCCTGTAGTTACTAATTGGAGTATGCACCTTTATATCTTTTAATTACATCCATTCAACTCTTACTTTAACTTCAATATATACCTTAAGTTTATGACCTTCAATATAATACATAACATCCAATCGAATTCTGCTTGGTACATTCTTATAATACACACTATATTCTTTAAAAAAAAAAAGAAAGATTGTAAATATATGTAATTATAAAACCTCATTCCATTCCAGTTCAATTCTATCATTAATAACCATTAAAATCTTAACATCTTTAACACTTCTTTTCAATTAAATATCATACTTCCTTAAAACACATATAATCTCCATAATTAATTTTTCCCTTATTTCTCTTCACATGTTTTATAAATCATTAAATATACCTTTTGTTACATTTATTTATTGACAAGCATTCCACTGAATTACGATAGCTATTTTATCAAACATTTTAATCATACATTGTTTCATATTTTCTAAAATTATTTCTGTTTCTAATATAACCATAGTATCTTATATACCTTTGCAGAATCCCTTTTTCCATTAAGTTTTCACCCATTATCTCTAAATAGGACCTGTTTCTCTATATTTTGCTTCTGTCCTTTATAACTTCTTTTCCTTTCTTTCTTCCCTCTCATCTTCTCCCTCCCCTTTTTACCCCCTTGTCTCTCTAGTTCTAATTCTCTCTTCTGCATTTCCCTCTTCTGTTGCTTTCTGATTTTATACTTATTTTTCACTCTTTTTTTTTTGGAGTTGTTTTTCCCAATCTTAAACTTTCCATTCTCTTTCCCCTCTTTCATTTTTTTCCCCCATCTAAGATTACTTGTTCATTAAAGATGGCTTCTTCTTTGTCGCAATCTTCTTGTTCTGCAGGCATTTCTTGTTGTTTCTCATAATTCCAAATCTTCATTTCTACAAACTGAAATACGAAGCCAAAAGAACCTCTCCCTTCTTGTGCATCTTCTTTGTACTTTTTAAGTTCTTCTAAAAGTGGAGCCATTTTAAACAGTTTTAAACAACCACCCGATTGATTTTAGTCATTCAAAACAATAACCAAGAATCCAGAAATCATCAAGAAATCCAAATAGTCTTGAGTTATATCTTCTTATTTCTTTTTCGACTTTCTCCTCCTGGGGTTTTTGTTGCAATATTTCAGTTAGAATGTATCTTTTGTAAGTCTTGTTGAGATTTTGCTGTACATTCTTTTTTAATTCCAGGCAGTCTCCTCCCTTCCAAATCCTGCCCTTTTATTCTTTTTCTCTCCTTTCCTGTTTTCAAAAGCTTTTAATTATCCAGAAATCTTTATTATCCCTTTGACTTTTTATTTTCAGCATTAAATGCCTATTGATATCAGTGGATTATTTTCCAATTTCTTGCTTAAGTCTCTTAGCTGTCAGTATAGGAAAAGGAGAAAACCAAATCTTTTCCCTTTTCTCTCCCCTTCGCAGCTTAAAAATCTTCTTAGGGAACAATGTTATTGTTTTTTAATAGTTTCAATTCCAGAGTACCTTATTTGTTGCTTTTGCTGTTTGACCAAAACTTTCTCTTATCTTCCTCCTGCACATTCTTTTCCAGCCAAGTTCTTCTTTGTGGTGGCCATTTCTGACCACTGCTGCAACCGCCTTTGGGAAAGGGAGTAATGGCCAGCTGGGGAGGAGAGATGAGGCTCTCCTCAACCCTGCAGGCAGTCTCCCCCCTCTTCACCACCAGGGTGGCTTAGCCCCAAAACCAGCTGGCTCGGGGTGCTCCAGCAGCGAGCACGGATCGAAGCCTCGCAGAGATGAGGTTTCGGTCTGTCGCTGAAAAAGCTCAAACCAGAAGCCCCCTAAGTGTCCAAATTTTGATCATGTGCTGCAACAGTCATAAGTGTGAAAAACGGTCATAAAACATGTGTTTTAGTGCTGTTATAACTTTGAACAGTCACTAAATGAATGGTGGTAAATTGACAATTATCTATAACCCTGGAGAGATTCATTGTATTTTTGATCACTAACTGAACAGTCACTAATTCTAGGACTCTACAATATCTTCATTGACGATGAGGGAATAGAAGGGGAACTTACCAAATTTGCAGATGATACTAAGCTGGCAGGAATAGCTAACACCCAAGAAGATTGGCTCAAGATCCACATGGATCTTGACAGACTAGAACACTGGACTGTATCTAACAAAATGAAATTCAATGTAGAAAAAAGTAAAGTCCTACACTTAGGCAAGAAAAACCAAATGTACATATATAGACTGGGTGAAACCAGGCTCAATAGCAGTAACTGTGAGAGGGATCTTGGAGTCTTAGTGGACAACCAGCTAAATATGAGCCAGCAGTGTGCAGCAGCAGTCTAGTGAAGGACCAGGGGAGACATGATAGCAGTGTTCCAATATTTGAGGGGCTGCCACAGAGAGGAAGGGGTCAAGATATTTTCTAAAGTGCCTTTAGGCCAGACAGGAATAATGGATGGAAACTGAACAAGGAGGGATTTAACCTGGAAATAAGGACTTTCTGACAGTGAGAACAATCAACTAGTGGAACAGAAGTTGCCTTCGGAAGTTGTGGTAGCATCATCACTTGAAACTTTCAAGAAGAGACTAGACTGGCATTTGTCAGAAATGGTATAGGGTCTTCCACTTGGGTGGGGGGTTGGACTAGATAATCTACAAGGTCCCTTCCAACTATGATTATCTGTTATCTGACCAGTAGTTTGATACATATCCAGTCATAGCAACTTAACTGATACAAGTGGATAGACCACATTTTATGAATTTTGAAGAGATGCCATTCAGGCGCATACAGGCAGCCCCCCTTTATAAAGTTATGAGTGTCATCAGTACAGATGTTAAACATTATTTCAATTCATTTTTATGTAATAAAAGTAGAAAGCAAAACGATTAGCTCTACAACTCCTGCTCTGCTGTCTCATTGGGGAGATTGTCCTGGGAAAAGTGGAAAACACTAGCATTGGTGGTTACACAACCCCCATAAGTCATCCCAAGTCTTTGTAATTGTTGAATTAAAGCAAGCAGGCCCACCTGTATTAGGCAGCAGCGACATACAGGTAAGTCTTGAGTGGTGCAGTTAACAACTCTCACAAAATGGTTGCATTGTTTGAAAATATCGAAGTGGTACTTTTAGGAAAAATGGGGCAATTGGTTCCAGCTCACCAGAAACAAGGAATGAAAAAAACTTGACATAATTTTTTTATATGTGTACCAACAAAAAGTTACAAGGATAAAAAGATTTCACTTACAATTTATTTTTATGGTTAACAAAGGCAGTTTGTTACACATCGACAACAGAATAAAAATAATAATTCCATCATAGTTTTAGGGCATTGCAATATCCCATCCTATTTTAGCATTGTTATGACCATGTTTATTTATTTTTATCCCACCTTTATAATTTTTACAAATAACTCAAGCGGGTGAATACATCCAATACTCCTTCCTCCTCCTGTTTTCCCGACAAAGGGACTGGCCCAAAATCACCCACCAGGCTTTCATAGCCAAGATGGAACTAGAGCCTCAACCTGGGGCTTCATCTACTAGAACAAAGTGGCTTTTGCTTATGCCCACCATACATTATGGCGGTCTACATTTTGGCACTCTCACCAGCTGATCTCAAGACCGGAAGTGGTATTCAGCAGGTTCTGACCAGTTCTGGAGAACCAGTAGTGGAAATTTTGAATAGTTCAGAGAACCGGCAAATATCACCTCTGACTGGCTCCGCCCCCATCTATTCTCTGCCTCTTGAGTCCTAGCTGATCGGCTCGGTCTTCTTTGGTTGCCCTGCACAGGAGAACAGAGCTGGAAAGCAGGTTAGTGGGGTGGGGAGGGAATGAGATTTTGAAATAACCTTCCCCCAGGAGTGGGGTGGGAATGGAGATTTTGCAATATCCTTCCCCTGCCAGACCTACCAAGCCATGCCCACAGAAATGTAGTAAAAAAAAATTTGAATCCCACCATTGCTCAAGACCCAACCTTTTACAGGTAATCCTCGACTTATGACCGTAACCGATCCCAACATTTCTGTTGCTGTGACTATTGTAAAGGGAGTTTGGCCCCATTTTTATGACATTTCTTGCTAGAGTTGTTAACTGGATCAGTGCAGTTGTGAGTAACACAGTGGTAAAGGGAATCCGGCTTCCCCCATTGACTTTGCTTGTCCTTCCCCACCAGAAAATGTCTCTCACAACGATTCCTTGTAATCGGAAAGCTGTCGCAAAAGGGGATCGCGGGACCTGCAACTGTCATAAATATGAATCTATTGGCAAGCATCCATAACCAAGAGAGTGAAACTACAGTCGTGTGAAAAACCGTCACAAGTGAGTTTTTAAAGCACCGTTTTAACTTCAAACCATCGCTAAACAAATTGTTATAAGTCAAGGTCTACAAACAAACTACACCACAAGCACAAAACCATCCCTCCAGTATCCTTTTTTGAAAAAAAAATACAATATACCATCCCCAGAAGCCACCAAAATAAGAACTTCCCCACCAGAAAATGTCTCTCACAACGATTCCTTGTAATCAGAAAGCTGTGCCAAGCATTTGCACTGATCTTCCAGAATGCCTCGGAAGACTTCATAGTGATGGTTGAGGCCCTTCCGGCTGTGGATGTGGTGTGTTGTACCCAGAGCCCCATGAGAGGACGGAGCTCCGTAAAACACCCGCTGGATGCGGGAGTGTACCAGTGCCATGGCACACATCATGCACGGTTCCCGAGTTAAGTACATGTCATACCCGGTGCAGATGTACGGGAGGCCATCCTCAAGAGAAGGAGGCGGCTGGGAAGTGTTGTCCACAGGAAGGAAAGTGCAAGCAGGATAATCATTGAAGCTGTAAGTTCCCCCTCCGTGGCTGTGGGCCACCAAGTCAATGCAGACCATCGCAGCATGGAGAAGTGGGTTGAAGCCCACTCTACAGTCATGACCAACCGCCAGGACTCGGCTGGTGGCCGGGTCCACCACCACAGCTCCTACGGGCTCCATAGCCTGTCTCGCTCCCTGCTGGGCTGCTTGGATGGCCAACTCCATGTAACCCTGCATGCTATTCTTTTCCAGGTGGGAGAAAAGACAGCCTTTCAGAGCTTGGCTGATCCGCTTGTTCTCATGAAAGGAGACAGGCCAGTGCGACGTAGCTTCCTCATACTGGGAACGAGTCAGAGGTGCGCAGGCCGGCACATGGACCAAGAAAGGTTTTCCCAAGCCACAGAGATCTACTTCGCCACTGGGAAAGAGTTCAGCGAGAGATCGCAAGCCAGACTGCTCTCCACTGAGGCCTGCAAGACACAAGATCATCTCCAGGGGGTGGGGGCTGCCTGCAGAGAGACAAGCCCGGATACGTTTCAAATGAGGGTAGTCACTCAATGGGTAGATAGCAGAGACTTCTTTCATCAGTCGACAGGTCTCTTTCTTATCCACGACAGGCGCGGCGTAGACGGGCATGAGCCTGACATCCTGAGATTCTTGCTCCGAAAGTACAGGCAGCACTTCCCAAGTGGAGACACCCACGGGCTCCGCTGTTTTCCGTCGCTTGATATCAGGCTCCATCAGGCATCCTTGTCACATTCTCTGGGAATTGAAGAGATTAATATATTAACAGAGTTGGAAGGGATGTTTTAGGTCATTTAGTCCAATCCCCCATTCAAACAGACCCTAAACCAAGGGTCTTCAAACTTGGCAAGTTGAAGACTTGTGGACTTCAACTCCCAGAATTCCTGAACTAACATGACTGGAGGAGGAATTGTGAGAGTTCAAGTCCACAAGTCTTAAAACTGTCAAGTTTGAAGACCTCTGCCATAAACCATTTCTGACAGATGGCAGTCCAGTCTCTTCTTGAAAGCTTCCAGTGAGGAAGCTCCCACAACTTCAGAAGGCAAGCTGTTTCATCGGTTGATTGTTCTCACAGTCAGAAAATTTCTCCTTATTTCCAGGTTAAATCTCTCCTTGTTCAGTTTCCATCCATTATTCCTTGTCTGGCCTATAGGCACTTTAGAAAATAGCTTGACCCCCTCTTCTGTGGCAGCCATTCAAACATTGGAACACTGAGATGATCCAAAATTAGTTAAAGCACTAGTCATGTTGTTCACCTTCCCTCCCATCTTCTCCTTCCTTCCCAAAATGTTAAAAAAGAAGAAAATTCTAAACATTATGCCAGTTTTAAAGAAATAAGGCAAGGCCTTGTCCACAGCTCACCACTGACTGCAACAAACTTCAGATCTGGCTCCAAGATATGTAGACAGACATAAATGTACCCACCATTTTAATTTTTTTTAAATTATTTGTTTAATTTGCCATCTAGCTCACTGTGAGACTGAATGTACATTTTTAAATTTAAAACAAACACAATATTTTGGGCAGTTCCAGAAAGCTGCCATGTGATCCCAGGGGAAAGATGGAGTTGTTTTAAAGAATTGCAAAGGAGAGGTAAGGTCATGCACTGTGAACTATATTTTCCCATTCCTTCCCAAACATTTCACAACTTAAAAAGTACAAAACCTTGATTGTTGTTAACATTCCAGTAGTGACACAATGGCCTTCCAACCCCTTGGCTCATTAACTGACAACTCCAAGAACTAGGTTTTTAAAAAATTATATTGTTTAAAAAGACGAAAATGTCAACCTTAAAAGAGCTGCCCGTCTTATTTATTTTATTTTTTACACTGCACAAGGTTAAGAATGATCTCTAGTAGCTCCTGATCCGTTTTTGATTACATGCCTAGCTTTCAATGGGAGGGTATGGAAGAGAGGACGACAGAGGCACTCTGCACAGGCTCACTCAGAACTACATTCTGCATCAAGTGCTTTTCTTCATTCCTCTGCTTCCGCTAGAAATAATAAGGCACCCTTAAAATTATTATTATTGGCTGTTAATTACAATAATACATATGGTAATTTCCCTTCCTCCAGTTTGCAAAAAGCCCTGCAAATAATTGCCCCTCCCCCCATCCAGGAATTCTACTTTTTTTCCGCACCACGTGATTGAAAAAAAAAAAGCTCTCACCTCGTTTCTAATTCTGCAAATTTTCCCCGCGAAGAAGCAACGCCTTTTGACTCTCCGCCGCGCCTGCCCTAACTCTGATTGGCCAGGGAAGTTCTACGGTTTTCCAAGAAGAGGGCGGTGATTGGTTAGTAGGCTCCACTCTTCCATTCCTATCCTCCCTTCCTTCTTTCCTTTGAACGCCCGTTGGATGCCGACGAGAGTGAATGGTCATTCCTAGAGCGGCCCTATCACACTCGAATACACGAGACACGACCAGCGTGCCGGAACCTGTCGGCGACCAAATACGGATACGGAAGTGAGCGGATTCTGGAGCTGGGACATGGAGTACGGACAGCAGCCGGTATGGCGCAGCGTGGGGCTGCTTGGTCGAAGCGCGGACGGTCCCGTGTTCGGTCCGGGTAACTGTGAGAAGAGGTTGCTGTGGGCCGCTTCGTTGCTTTGCGTCTTGCTGGATCTACAGTTGCCAGGTAACCATAGTAACCGAAGCCCACCTACGTTTCCTTTTTGACCTTAGCAACCGAGCTTCCGGTGGTCCCGCCCCTTGTTGCCACAGTCGTTTCCTGTCAGTCTTTTTTTGCTCCCAATAGCCTTTTACCTTGGCAAGCTCCGCCCTGTTATTCCTCGGGAGACCTTCCCTTCTGGCAACGTGATTGGCTGGATTTGCCTGTGCTTCCACCAACCCACTTCCTGGTGTCATCCATTTAAGCCTTAGCATGTTCCTAGTCCTCAGTGATCTCTCTGTCTGATGGGACTTACCTGTTAACCCATTCGTTCTCTATAGCCTTATACAAGTAGTCCTTGACTTGCACAGTTCATTTAGTGACCATTCAAAGTTACAATGGCATTAAAAAGAGATTTTATGACCATTTTTCACCTTTGTGACCATTGCAGCATTTCCATGGTCAAAATTCAGAAGAATTGGCAACTGACTCATATTTATGACCCAGGGTCATGTTGTAACCTGGGGAAGCCAGATTCACTTAACTGTTTTCCTAACTACAGCGATTCACTTAAAAACTGGCAAGAAAGAAAGATCATAAAATGGGGCAAAAAACTCACTTAGGAAATGTTTCACTTAGCAAAAGAAATATGGTCACAAGTTGACAATTATCTGTCATTATTTTAAAAATCCAGGACAGGAGAAAAATAAATGTTCACTAAACTGAGCTGGTTTATTTCATAATTTAGTCATAATTTAAACCCCTCAAAACCTAAGCTATAAGGAGAGAATATCCTTGGTAGGGGGATACCAAGCAGGTAACCATTTTACATTTAAAAACAGCAAAGGTGTTATAACTATAAATGGCTAATTTAGTATGGCATCATTAAATAGAGTTATAATTCAAAACTTGGTGTAAAGTTTCAGTGGACTTCTAAACAGAAAGGCTGAAGGGTCTGAAGCAAATGCAGAAGAACATTTAAAGAACAAATAGCATCAAAAGTGTTCACATTCCAATCTATGGTTTTCAGGATTTCAGCACATTTCAGTATTATTTTCTAGCTGAGGCCTTTCAAATCTTACTCAGCATTGACTGGTGAAAGAAGGTCAGGAGCTCCGTGGTTCTCATGAAAGAGCAGCAATCTGCAAACTCAAAGCAAGTATTTTTTCACTCTTTCACTAGCATCCCTCCAAAACTCATACGGCCCTGATCTCACTAAGGTTCATTAAGCCAGTCTCTTTCCATAGGTACTGGGGCAGGACAATGTACAAACCCAATACAGTAATGCTATGTATGTTAAGCCAGTTTTTGTCCCTAATGTGGCTGCTTTTATTCTCGTATTTTAATAACTGACTTCTACTAGGGTTGAGCCACCCAGAGTCACTTTCAAGGGAAAGGGATTCCTCAGAGAGGGAGAGAGGAAGAGGGGAAGGAAAAGGAGAAAATTATTGAGGTGCTATCTTTGGTGTTCGCAAAAGAATTTGTTGTATCACCAGCTAGTTAAGAATGCATCAAGGATCTAGGTCAGAGTTTCTTAGCCATTTTTTAAAGTTGTGTGGACTTCAACTCCCAGAATTCCCCAGCCAGCATTTGAGGGCCTCAACTCCCCAAATCCCCCAGCCAGCACGTGAGGCCTTCAGTTTCCAGAAATCCCCAGCCAG